AGTGTTTCATCCTGTCATTTTTATTTAATTAGGGCTTATATTTGTGTGACAGAACCACACAAATTGCCTAGAAAATATGAGGGTTTACGTCGTATCGGACGACAACCTCGGAACCTCAGAACCACACAAATTGCCTAAAAAGGTAAACATGTTTAAAGTTATAAAAAGTAAAGTGTGCGATGCAGGAACGAACAGTAGCATGCAAGTGGAACAGTAGTAGGCAAAAACAGGAGCAGTATATAGCAAGTAGAAACATGAATAATATAACATGTCGTACGGTATGGTAGCAGGTAGAAACATAAATGGAATAACATGCTGTATAAGAAGAGCAGTAGCAGGTAGAAACAGAAATGGTATAACATGCTGTATAAGAAGAGCAGTAACAGGTAGAAACGGGAAAATTAATTGCCGTAAAATGTAAAGCAAACTTGTACGCCCGTGAGATCCGCTGTTCCTTAAGTATAGTAAGCCTAAATGTATCTCAAAAACCAAAGTCCGAAAGAAACGTCGTTCAGGAAATTCGAGGAAAAGCGGAAAAACTCGAGAAAAATCAACGAAAAAGACTCAAGTAAAAGAAAATCCTCAAAACTCCTACGGCTGGGAAAATCCCGAAAGAAAAGAAAAGTAACACGAGTGCTCCGTCCCAAAACTTCGATAAAACAAAAGAAAATTTCAAGTGTGGGGGATCGCAAGCACTCGTATGGGACTAGGCTCAGCTATATATATTCTCGAGGGACCACGAAGGCTACTCGATCACCCGAATCTATAGAACCCGCCACTCATCTAGAAGTGTGTCTTGAACCTCACTTAGGGGGCTATTTCTCAGCCTAAACAGGTATTCGTCAGGTGGACAACCAATTTTAAAACATATTTTAAAATTTATGTTTTTGACATACGCAAATCTCGAAAAAGATTATCAAATTTTGTTTTATAAAGAAGAATATATTTTATATTTTGAAATAGATTTTAGCAATTTTTATTGTCCGCAAGATGATTACACTGTCTGGCATAAAATCGTCGACCGATTGAGGAGGTTCGAGTCAACTCCCGCTAGACTTATGTCGGTGAAGGATACCATATCCTATTGTTCATCAAATGTCTGGATTTTGATGTTATAGGATATGACATCTTTCTACTCTATCTTCGGTGTGTCTTTATCATCAACACCGTACGCCCCAAAACGCCCACTTCCGCCCTTGCCTGT